TTAAAAGAAATTAAAATGCGTTTAGAAATAAAAATTAACACAGAAATAAAAAAAGCCCCCAACTTACAGAATGCGACTACCTTTTTATTTCTGAATTAATTTTTCTTTCTGAACAAATGTATTAATTTCTTTTGTAACTAATAAACAGTTTACATGATTCTGGAGTTTTTCTGTACTTTTGAAATGCAATTTTTTGAATAGAAATTATTTTTTAAACCAACTTTATATGCTGATAGCGGCTTAACCATTCGGAATATCCAAGTAATTTATTAGATAAAATTTGTCCTAAGAGCTTTTTTTCGATGTTTTGACGTTGCCACACCGGACACACTGTATATCATCGTTATTTTTCGTACGTACGGTCTATGTTCGAAGAAACGTTATTACTCATAGGTCCATAGCATAGGGGATGAAGATTGATGTCCATATTGTTACAGGGATGAAATGGTGTACGAACGTACGTACTGGCTTCTTGTGAATTGTTGTGAATCTGTTCAGGTAATGTCAGACCGGGATATCAACCGAGGTACCGGGAAATAAAAAGAGTACGTTGCAGAACGCCCCAGTCTGAATGCAAGGATGTCTATTGTCTTCGGAAATTCATTAAGAAATTTTGTCATCATTAGCTATGTAGTACAAAGCTTTGCAGTCCACGTAACCAATTCGAATTAGTTTCTACAAATAAATCCGTAGAACGAACTTCATTTTCAGGACGGACATTTTCATCTCTTGGAATACTAAATTTATTTTTCAGAAGGTACAGTTTTTCCAAATTTGCTTCTAAGTAGGACAAAGTTTCACGCGATAGTTTTAGAAGTTGCGAAATAAACCGACAATGGTACTACATACTGACGTAAATCGGGCAACAACCTTCAAAAATCAAATTGGGCGCATACGCGGTGATGGAGTATCTTACGATACACCTTCAGGTCAGATCTTTCTTCATACCATGATTACCATCTTATTTTACAATTGTTAAAAAAAAACACTTATAGTCCTGTGTAGAAATCATTTTTCGATTAACTTATTGAGCATGACGTCTATAATTCATTACCATCGTAGTGACCATATTTTGTTTAGTTAAAATTTATTGCGGTACTGTAGGATCAAAAATAAAAAGGAAATAAGACACTTGTATGCTTGACGTGACGACGACACGCTATATGAATAATTTCTCTAGAAATGCCTAAAAGCTTTAAAACAGTCAATCTCATCCTTGTATTAATCTGATAAAGACAAGTGTTGTTGGGAAAATTGTCTGACTCAATATGATTTAACATGACGTCTCATTCTATACGATAGTCCCTATGTCTGTGCTCATAATCTGCAGTCCTCTTTTGGAAATTCAAACGGAGCATGCTTACTACGTATCAAGAGAGTTTCATTTAAATTCTTTGCTGAATTTCATTATTCACATCAAAGATTTGATTTTGATTCATAGTCGAAAGACTGTTATACATAGTTTGACAAGTGTCGCATTGCATTTTTTCAAACAATGCTACTTATTCAATTTCTTAGTAAAAGAAATGTGCTTCAAACAAAACAATGCTGATTTTCTGTTCTAGAAGTCAGTAATTTTGATTTTTACAGAACGTGCGTATATCTTTAGTAATACAAATACAAATCTCATTAAGAAGAACAGGGAAGACGAGTGTACTTCATTTTAACAATTTTTTTCGTGTCATGTAGAGAACATATTCACGGTTCGATGTTTTAAAGTGTGCTGAAATTATGTTCTATGTAACTTGAATGTTTTAAAAAGAAGTTGCGAACATCTTTTCTCGTTCGAGAACTTATTGGTGACATATGTAGAAGAGTAATGAGTATAGAGAGGCAACAGTGTAAAAGTGAAAATTATTTAAATTTTTCATGTTCAATAGAGAACTTCACTTCCACTTACTTTCATACTAGATTACTTGATATCTTGAATTTTTCATTTCATAGACGAGAAGCATTCTAGTGTTCAAAACGCAGCTCTACTCTACTTCAGCGTCCCTTCGCGGTAAAATTGCCATGGTAATGAGCAGAGAATTGAAAAGATCGACTGATTCCAATTCGCTTCAGATTGCAGAACAAATTGGATTTAATTTGAAACAGAACGTTGGTTCACATAAAACATTTAGTTACTTCGAAATATTTCCGGGTCCAGTTTCTTGGATCAACTAATAAAATATACTAATAAGGTAAAAATTTAATTCTTTGATTTACTAATTTTCTCCCAAATTTCAGATAAGGCGAGACCTGCACTTCTTTCTTATGTGAAAACAGTTTTGTTCATTTAAAAATATTTTGAGCGAAAAGCGTCAACGAGTATGCTGGCAATTTTTAGACCAGCGAAATTAGTGTATGTGACAAAACACAGTTAAATATTACTCTACAGAACGTTTAGAAGCGCCTTGTCTGCCTTGATTAATTTATGCAGCATGGTTGGCTGGGCAATTCACAGAGGGAAGTCCGTGGCTACGTCGTTCATGGAAGAGTTGATCCAGGGAGTCTGCTGATGTGTTGCGAAAGGTGGCGGCATGACGCATTAGATTTTCCACTGATACGAATTCGATGTGGGTTCGTGCTGCAGTTTACACTACTGTGCAAAAGAAACTTTTATAACATGGTTAGTGTGTTTCATAGAAACAAATACGACTTGCTCTACATAATTTTCAATAGTGCATTCATTTCTCAGTCTCAATAATAACAATAATAGTAATAATAATAGTAATAATAGTAATAATAATAATAATAATAGTAATAATAATAATAGTAATAATAATAGTAATAATAATAATAGTAATAATAATAATAGTAATAATAGTAATAATAATACCTATCAGATGGCCGAGATCGCCAAGGCAGGAGTGCCGTAGTGGTTTTGGACCAGAAGATCGCGGGTTGGAGTCCGTCCTCGGGCATGGGTGGCATTGTGTATGTCTGTATGAGTGTGTCGTCCTTTGACCCCTCATTATCATCATTTCATATTCCATACCCCTGGGGAACTAACAACCCTAGGGAACAAAAATCGGACTCGGCTAAATGCTTGTTCCTAATTAAAAGTTCACCTGCCACCGCGATAATGACATCGTGCTGAGCCACGGTAAATGCAGGATGCATGCGTGGTCCTAATCGGCCGATTCTCGACCACTTTTTATTATCCAAAGAGTGGCTAATTTATATTATGAAAAGAGTTGATATTACGAGAGAGGTATTATGAAATGAGATAATACTTTTCTTACTTTCTTCATTTTTTTGTGCAAACTGAAGACATTTTCACCAGAACCGGCTAAATGTTTATTTGAGTGAAAATATATACATGAATCCAACGTCCTTTATAAAGTCCGTTTCTTTATGAATTCCCTGAAATAAACTTTCACTATAGTGCGTTTCGTTTACAGTTCAGTGGGAAAGGGCTTTCTTTCTCCTACTGTGGGAACAGGAAAAAAGTCACCACACGGAGATGAAGAGTACTGCATCAGCGTTCGGCTAAGAAGAGAAGGAAAACTCGTTTCAATCCTTACATGCGTTGCATTACCAGAATTTTAACACGATATTTCTGATCTGAAGTCAACATCTAACCTAAGTTCTGTTAACTGGAAACACATTTTCAATATTTTTTACACTAGCGAAACAACGATATTCTATTGGTTCCGTTGAGTTTCCTCCAGGCGCTTACAATTAGATAAGCAATAATCGGTTTCACAACGAATATTGTGAATGAAATTGATTTCGCAGAATGGCAAAATTCAGCCAGTTCCTTATCTGGCCCAATTTGTTACTTATTACTTATTTCATTTGATTTACTTAAGAATTTCAACACCAGTTAGAGATAAGTGTGTACAAATATGCGATAAATGAAAAGAAAAAAATTAAGGATACTGTTTTATCTAAAAACATTACGTCACACCACGAGAAAATAACAGGCTGAAGTGGCTCAGGGCATCACTGACGTCAACGCAAAGCCTCTGACCGGGAGGTTCTTGGGTTCGAGTTGCAACAGTGGCAGGGTTTTCGGTACAGGTTGATGGCTAGATCGAATTCAGTTATTGTCTGAACGCAAATTCTGGAGCGTCCGGCAGCTCTGATCGGTACCCTTTCTTGGGTTTTCCTATCAACAACAGGCGAATACCGGAGCAGTAACCTAACAAACGAGCCACGTGCGCGCCATCTTTCCTTCTTCTTTCTTGTCCTATCTTCACCACTTACACGCACGTGAACATACTTGTACGACACTATCGCATATGTCGGGAGCCTACAGCTTACCCC